TTGATGTGTAGGAAGGAAAAATTTAAAGAAAATTGAATAAAATTGCTTAATTTGACTTAGGCCTAATTTCGGCCCATTAAGGTCTAATTCGGGTTTAGACAAAAAATTGTTCCATAAATGATAATTAAATTGATTCCTATAGTTAATGTATGTCTAAAATATTTGGTATTAAAATTCTAGGATGAAATGAGAAGAAAATAATAGGGTTTAAGCTAAGGAAGAATTTGGCCTAAAGGGGTAAGTTTAGGGTTTAGATTCCAAAATGGTTTTTAGCGACTAAATTGACTAATTCAAACTTAGAACTATATAATTATGTAAATTAGAATAGAAAACTTCATAAAGACCTAAAGGTTAATTAGTTTAGTAAAATTTGGAAGTTAGGCCCAATAAGGCCTAATTGGAGACTAATGCCTATAATTAACTAAATATTACCTAACAAAGTTAGTTTACGAAATTGGGATACAATTGAGAAGAACTTGATATATAATATATGTTAGAAATTGAAAGAAAATGGTTAGGTAAGCAAAACTTTGTGTATGATTGTGTTTTGAATAATGTTTAATGTGTTTAAATAGTATATTTGGTGAAATGTGGTTGATGGTGATGTTATGTTATTTGAATGGTATGTTGGTGTCGGTATGTCTTATGATGGTTGAAGATATTTATGCAAGGTAATATTTTAATGCAATTAAGTTATTGATTTTTTTATACATTATCATGGCATATCACATGGTTATTCATGGTATGCACCTCATGTTTATGTATTATCAATGAAATGCTTATGCGAGTCCAATTTCATGAAAAATGTTTTAAAGTCATGAAAACATGTTTTTATGTCGTGATTTTCAATAGCAATGGGAAATATTTTAAAGAATGTAGTTTTCATAACCTTGAGGATTTTTATGAGGAAAGGGCTTCATGGGTTTTTCATATGATAATGGTAATGGTTCATAGTCAAGCAAGTACGGACAAGCACTTTTAGAGGCTCGACAAGATGCGTTCATAGACGGATCCGGTTCACCGGACATATGTTATGAAAACCACGAAGTACCTAAATGGGACATGTCTAAAGACAAAAAAGGATTTTCGGACTAATCATAAAATGTATTATGACGTGGAAAAAGAATTTGATGTGTATATACCGGTGTTTTACGCATGCATATGCATACACATACATGACATGCATAAGTTAATTTATTAGGCTATCGCTCACTTAGTTCCTTATAATATAGATAATTAAGGTATGATGGCGTATTTCTCCCCGAGCTGATTTTCGAGGAGTGCACCGGACTCATATACCTTGGGTGGGGTTTGGCTTCCGGGTGGATCTGCTGCATGCTATTCCGTTTCTAATACTAGATATTATCCTGTATGTGTTAGGGTTAGCTGATTTGTTTTATGTTATGATAAAAGCAATGAACAAGTAAATAAAATACCTCTAAAATGATATAGTTAATCAATAAGTCAATTTTGTATTAGTTAGCATATAAGCTGGTCCGGTATGTAAACAATAGTACGTATGTAACCGAAACATTACTAGTAAAATGGTAGTGTAGTTATAGTAGTATAATTATTTTAAATTGTCCATTTTATGTTAGTATCCTTAAGACATAAGGCAATATGGTTAAACATGGGTCAATTAACCTAAATGATAAATAATGCAAGAAAATAAATAATTGAATAATAATAACAATAATAATGAGTAATAACTAAATAAATTTATAAGGATTAATAAGAAAGGAACTTAGGATAATCGACTGTTGCGAATTTAGTTATTCCAATCAAAAGAATATAAATAAAAGAATAAAAAGCAAAAAATTTATAACGTCTTTTTAGCTATAGTATAGGACCTACCTTGCCCATGTTAGGTTTCTTTAGCATACTTTACACGTTAAACACCGAGACTAAGCTACGAGTGCCTTGTTAGCTTACATTCATTGCACCTCGAATGTAGGTTAATGACGATAATATTCTCAACCTTTTAGATCTTAGGTTAGAGGTGTTACAATTATTTTAGTATTTATTTTAGTATTTTAGTGTTTAGAAATTTAATTTATGCTATATTTTTTATTTTTTTATTTTTCAATATATACTCTTTATTACTAACCTATGACATATGTTATAATCACCTCAATAAATATTTATTGAAAGAATGTTATAAAAATAACCCTATTTATCCAAGTATTTTTATAAAAAATAAAAAATAAAAAAAGAGATTTTTCATAATTGCTATATATGTTGATGATATAAATATTATTAAAACTCTTAAAAAGATTCCAAGTGCCATAAGTTATCAAAAAAGAGAATTTGATATGAAAGACCTTGTAAAAGCAAAATTTGTCTCGACGTGCGGTTCGAGCACTTAAAAAATGAGATTTTTATTTATCAATCAACTTATATAGAAACAATCATACAACACTTTTATGGATAAGCTTATCCATTGACTAGCCCAATGGTAGTTCATTCACTTGATATCCAAAATGACCATTTTCGACTTTAAGAAGATAACGAATAAGTACTTGGTCCTAAAATATCATATCTTAATACAATTGGTGCATTGATATATATTACTAATAATATTCAATTTGATATATATATATATATTTTTATAAATTTATTAACAAGATATAGTTTAACTCTAATACGGAATTATTGGAATGGAATTAAATATTTTCTATGTTATCTTCGAGGAAAGAATTGATATCCTATTTATTTTGCTCAAATAAATCAAAGACAAGTTTAATTGGCTATACGGATACATGTTATTTGTTTGATCCATACAAAAGTCGACCACAAATTAGTTATATATTTACACATGGTGATACAACTATATTATGGTATCTTATTAAGTAACTATAGCTCCTATATCTCAAACCATGCGTAAATACTAGCAATTCACAGAGCAAGTCGAGAATGTATTTGGATAAAATTAATGAGCTATCATATCCAAGAGATATATGGTTTATCCACTAGCAAAGGACGTTACAATAATATTATATAAAGATAATGCTGCTTTTGTAACTCAATAAAAAGAATGATACATTAAAGTGACATTCCGACATGATTTGTTCACTAAGGCATTACCTATCATAATTTTTGAGAAAATTATTCATAAGATTGAAATACATCGTCTTAGAAATCTTCAATAAAGCTTTCAACAAAAGGAGCATGATATGAGAATTAATGTGTATAAGGAATATTGCATTATTTTTCCTTCGGTAGAATTTTTTTCCCATTGAGTTTTTTCTAGTAATATTTTAATGAGGCATGTTCGTTATACGATGACATTAAAGGAGTGTTATGAAATAATAATTGTACATAACAATTTTTATTCCCACTACTAATCATATTGTTTAATAAAATCATTATCATGTACGATGACATAAGAATTGAAAGGTTGGTGCAACGTTTCATGAACTTTTCTAACTCTTTCCAATTCTCTTCATGATCCTATAAATACGAGGATTGATTGCTCGTTATTTTTTTCTAAATTTTTTTCATTGATACCAAGAAGATGGGTTGAGTTCTCACCCTATTCGTTTATTAGAGTTGTTATACGGGTAGCACTCTCGAAGGCCTTTCCTTGTTGCAATATTCTTCTCAACGGTGATAATTTTTTCATTTTTTTTCATTTTTTTTAATTCTTTTTCCTTTTCTATTTCTAAGAAAATCAAAATAAATTGAAAAACCACAAAAATAACTAAATAATTAGTTTTTAGAACTAGAGGGACTAATTTATAACTTACTCCATGTTCGGCATGTATATTATTTAATTTATCAAAAAAAAAAAAAAAACTATAGTACTTTTTTCCCCTATGTTCTAATAGATTGTTTAGACTTATTAATATTTGAATATTAACTAAATAAGCATGTATAATTTTCAAATAATTTTATATAAATTTTGATGATTAGAATTAAATTGATTTGCTAATTTTTTAACCATGTAAAATAATTTTAAATTGGCCTTAAGTAAAAATTAAGGACTCAAATTGAATTATCTTTCAAAATTAATAATTAATAATTAGAAAAATATATATTGACTCTTAAAATTGATAGTTACTAAAAAAATTCACCAAACATTATATCATTCTGAACTACTTTTAGATTAAACAATTAACATTTTTTTTCAATTATATATGATGTGAATATGAATTAAAAAAAGGGACAAGAATAAAATTTTTATAAATTATACGTTTAGTAAATTTTTTTTTTTTATTCACATGAGTAAAAAATAACATGTACCAATAACAAAAAAAGTAGCCAATTAAAATTTAACTATAAAATCAATTTAAATTTGATAAAATTTTGATGTAATTTAATTATTTTTGGATCTTAACACTTTATATTTCTTATTGGCTTGTTTAGTACAATGTAATTTAAGAGTTATTTAAATAGTTTACTTTATATTATTTGACTTTTATATTATGTATAAATAAAAACAATAATGAAAATACAAAAGTAACCTATTCTATAGGATACATTGTAAAATTAGGAATCAATAATTTTCTTCTCAGAATTTTACCAAAATTGGTATTTTTCTATATTAGATATAAGATTAAATTTACTTAGTGCTATTATTATTAATTAAAGATTGGGTCTTTCTGGCAGAAAAAAAGTAGGGGTGTTGACCAAACCACCTGCCTTGGGTTAATAGGCCCTTTCAAGAACTTGGAAGTTGTAGGGAGAGCTATTGCACTTTTGGCTGCACCAGCTAGTTGATAATGAATAAATGACAACTCACAACATCCCTTACATTCAGCATATGTTGGATATAGTTACATTATTACTTCGGGAATTACCATAAAATTCCTAATGATATATGGTACTTGTGAATTATTAACACAAGAAGCAAGCCTTTCACCGTTAAGCAGACCAAACATTTCCAAGGATTCCATGATCTGGTTAATGCACACAAAACTGAATTCTATTGCATTGTTGGTGGAGCTTCTAGAGCAATTCTCAAATGGCATCTCCCAGAACTAGAAAAGATTTGAACGACTTTAACAAATCTTCTGCCAAAGCTCACCCCTCATTTTCAAATAGATTTCAGTGATACAGTACCCATCTGATAGCAAAGCAATTAGGTAAAGTATTTCTGAAGGCTGAAGCATTTGATAAAGGCCTCTGCATCCAGGTGAACTTTCACTACCATAGTGGACCATCCAACACCAAGTACATTCTGTCTGGAAGGCAAAAGATAAATGGTTCTCCATCAATATAACCACATGAGAAGCGTCTTTCCCTAAATGATGCACACTTTTCCCCTATTAAAGGTGCATTGTGGAACAATTTCAAGCTGACCGGGACTTGTGGTTTAGCAACCATTATCAAACTTAAATCAATCGATTTGCCCATCAACATGTAGAGTAAAACAATGACATAATAATCCTACTGAACCAGGGATAACATGCTTTGTGGACACGATCAAAAAGCACCTCATTGGTTAGAAAGGGGCTTTTCTAATGTCCAAGGATAAAATTCAGTGGAATTACTTACCAGATCTCTATATTTCGAGTGTTCATTGTGCTTCCAAGAATCAAATGATCTGAAATAGACCATTAGAAATCATAAAGCGTGGTCCCAGGACAGGTTGCTCACTGAAGTGGCTTCACGTTGTAATATTTGCATATATTACAATTTCTTCACAAGGCCCGAATTAGGCGAGCTGCAAAGGTACCATCTACTGAGTGTTTCAGAGGATCAGAGGAATAGAAACCACGTTTTGTTACAAAATCAGGTGGCACATATCTGTCAACAGGATCTATATGAAATTCCTGGCACAAAAGATTGAAAAACAATAAGACTTTACCAAAAAGTTTCAATGCCAAAACAAAATCTTTAACGTTCTTTGTTGAGTGAGCAGTAGTCGAGGGGAAAAGGATAGTTTTATACTGCAGATGAGTTAAATATTATCTCTAATATCTCCACATTATGCAAACTTCTTATCTCTCCTTATAATTAGAATGGGGAAAATAAAATAAATAATTAATACATGATAGCAAATAAGAATGAGCTCTTACAAGATGCTTGAGAAGAAAAGCATCCACCCTCTCTTCATTCTCTGCAGGATCTATGGAACATGTACTATACACTAAAACTCCACCAGGCTTCACCAATCTGCAAATGCACAGTAAACCTTATAAAGGAAACACAAGAAACAAGACACTTGATCAAAAGGAAAAGTCAATGAATACTGTTCTCAAAAAAATAAAAAAAAAAGTCGGTCAAGCATCCAGAATAAGCAACAGAATGTTCTAATAAAATTTTCTCCAAAAACCCATGATGATATATTGGTTATTAGAGAGAGAATTCTGATCTCACGTGGAAGCAGCATCAAGGAGCTCATCCTGCAAATCCTTAAGTTCTTCCAAATCTTCCAATCTCCTATTCCATCGCAAGTCCGCTCTCTTGAAAAAAAGCAACAATTATTATGTATATCTTTTGCACTTGATTAAGAAAAGAATCAAACAAGAAAATCGCCAGATGATAAAAACAAACAATAAATTAAGCCCCTAGTATTATCAAAATTCAATGCAACTAATCATTTTATAAATATTAGTTGATAGACAACTACCTTGGACAGAACACCAAGTCCAGAACATGGAGCATCCAGCAAAACCTTATCAGACTTCATCGGATAACTTTTCTAAGAATTTAAGAAAAGGAAAGGAAAGGAAAAGAAAATTCAATCTATAAGGACTTTTATCTTGATGGCATTAAACCTTTTTACAGGATGACAACAACTTACGGCAAAGGTGCGAAGATCAGAAGGAATGGTGGTAATGACACCATCAACTTGGTGCAACTTGGCTGTCTCTTTAAGGATTCTCAATCGACCTTTATTTATGTCAATTGCATATACCATGCCTACAATCCATAAGGTACCGCCACTCTATATAAAAATACTTGACTAGAAAATGGAAGAACTAAAATAATCATTATAGTGAAACAATTTAGCCCTTTTTTTTTCCTTTTCCCAAAAAAAAAAAAAAAAAAACAAGCTCAGTCATTACTTGTCAGAGGAAAAAACTTGGGTCATTGAGGTAAGGAACTTGGTTTTTAGAGAGAAGTTCAAGAAAAATTTAATCACTTCAAAATGGAAAATAATTATCATTAAAAAGAAAAAGCAAAACCAAGGGATGAAGGTTGGCATATTAATTGTAGAAAAAATGTTCTGTAACTGAGAAATTTAAATGAGCTGGTGGCAACGCACAATTTCCTGAAAAATGCAGTCTAATCAGTAAAATTGTGTAATTGCCTGTTGCACTAAATATTGTTCTTCACCCTTGTAATTCTAAATTATCTTTGTTGACAGAATTGGAAGTCCTGAAACCATAGTGTTTTTTTGCATGTGTGCACATTCACATAAGGCTTCCTCATTAGAGAGAGCACAACTACAATGATAGATCTCAGTTTACAAAGGAGAAAAGGTAGAAAACATAGAATTGAAGGGCATAGATGTCCAACAAGTCACGTGCGGCAGGTTTGCAACTTTAAAACTCAAGGATAGAGCAAAACAATACACACAAACACAGGGCAGATTTACATGCAGGAGAAGGGGGGCAACTGTCCCAGTTATTTTTTTCTCAAAATATTCAAAATCCAATTATTTTTTTCAAAATATTCACAACAGTACTTAGTAATTTTACAAGTTCAAATTGGTCCTCTTTTTCTTTATTTTAATTTTTTGCGATTGATTTGATTTGATTCTTGATCTAATAATTTTGTTTAAATACAAAATTACTTTATTAGAATAATATCATTTTACATAATAGTAACTAATGCAATAGCACTGCCCTTGACCACCAATTCCCCACCAACCACCCCCCCCCCCCCCAAAAAAAAAAAAAAAAGATTATAGATCCTAGCTCCATGCTGCACAGCGCCCATACACACAAAGAGAGTTTGTAGCGGTTATTGATACAGCTCAATTGATAGAGTAACAAAGGGAGTAAAGGCAATAATGTGGAACTGAAGGACATGCTTACCTCACTAAGAAGCCAACTGCAATTGGCTTACTATGAAAATGTTAGGGATAAAAATGCATGTGAGCCCAAGGCAGTTGGTATAAGCAATGAGTGGACCGAAAAAGAGGTGACGTTCAAATAGCCTAATAGAGGCTAAAATGCACCAGAAAAGAAAGTGGTAACTCTTAGAACGAGCATATATGACCTTTCTTGGCTCAATAATACCTTGGCCATGCATTTGTGATGCCATATAAAGTGTCTTTCCTCCTGGAGCAGCACAACAATCAATAATGCTCTCACCAGGTTTAGGATCAACAACAGAAACTATCAAACCTGCAATAAACTTGTGTCAAAAATACTTTATGACATCTTGAGTAAGTTGAACCAAAAATAAAAGCCAAGTCTTTTCTGATTTTCCACAGTCTTTAGTTGGGAATATAAGCAAGTTCAAAGATAACTTTAAAAACTCGGATTCTGTTATCACAGCAGCTGACCTGGGATTTAACGTGATCGTCATATATTAGTTAGATATAAGAGCAGACCCCTAAGCAGAAAACTACAAATGCTTAGGATGTTATATCACCATATCCTACTGCATTCCAACACACTAGTTTTCTTTTTCTTTTTACAGTTTTCTTATCATTTTTTCTCCTTTTTTTTTCATACAGTGAATGCGGTAGTTTTTGTTCAAAGTGCAATCAGAAGGTAAAACAAATATCAACCTGCACTCTCATCCTGAACCGCACATAGTCCTTGCTTCAGCAATCCAGCTTGTATGACAATCTGAATCAAGGAAAAGTATCAGTGTTCTGAAAAGTGAAAGTGGACTGATATGAGGTAGTGTGTTTGCATGTTCACGCACGTGTTTGTGTGTTTCTGACAAGAGATTGCATTTTTTACTGAGTTTTTCCTAATGGAGAATTACAAAAGAATAGACCTCAAGGTTGTAAACAATTCAGAAAAAAAGCTATAGCAATGGCTTTATATTCGTCGATGTAACAATCACCTACCTAAAGAATCTTTTAAGACTCATATTAACAACTAGTTTCCATATTTACATGTCCTGTGCTGGCCATTGAGTAGAGCTACTAGATAGAACAATTTCACTGTATACCTACTATGAAACAGTCATAGCTTTCAGCATAATTATGACTGAAATATATCATAAATAATACCTGCAGCCCAGTTTTAACACGGACAAAAAGGTCCAAGTGCAAAGAAAGCTCATGAGGAACCTGGAATTCAAGTATAGATAATCAATGTCAGCATACATGCTATGAAATAATATGCATGTAAATACACACACATTTTCCCACGTGTGTGTGTGAGTGTGAGTGTGCGTGAGAGAGAGAGAGAGAGGGTATAGTTGCAAGCTTTTGGGAAAAACAATCCCGTTAAATAATGTCAATTATCTCCATCCCACCCCCTGAGGATCCATGTGAAAACACCTTAATCTTCTGTACACTAAAGGAAACCCAAAAAAAGAAATCACCAAGCACCTTTAACATATTGAGCTGCATCACAAGGTCAGCTCTTGTAACTCCTTTCCCACTGTTTGCCCTAAGATCAGTATTGAGAAGGAAGCTTATAAGAACCATGCAATTTAATTATGGAAGAAAGCAAAATTTAGCTGAAAACCTCAAGCTGAAACTGGGGTCATCGTTGTTCCACATCATCAGCTTAATTGCCTTTTCTTGCCCTAAATACTTTGTCCAACGCCTTACCATCCACTGAAACATTATAAAAAATAGAGATATGGTGAGCACAAATGTCACACGACTTAATTTATTATGCTTCCAACCTAGGAATTGGCATACTTCATTTTGTTTAAGAAATGAGAAAGTCAGACAATAAAATGCATATTTTATTATCTCAATTAAATCAAGCAAGGTTCTTCCCAAGTTAGTCTAAAGTGCACAGAAAGCCTGATAAACCCAGTCATCCTACAGATTCAGTTGCTTATCATATCAAACAAGGGACGTTACAGGATGGACATCTAGCCAGATTTTGGCACAGCCAATGGATAAGGAATTGGTGTACATGAATGAGGTTTTATGACCATAAAATTGTATTCAATTTCGGTTGAAACTGATGAATTGCTAGAAGTATAAATTAAGATATAAAAAATTATGCAAGTTTATTACATACATGTCAAGTAAGATACAGAAGCTAACTCAACTTTTATTCTGTAAGTAGAATTAACTCCTTCTCTGTCTAAAGAAATGCACTGTAAAGGGGCAGATGCATAGAACCTTTCAACGAGATAGTGCTTTCTCAATTCTCCCTACGTTTAATTGAAAAATCAATCTGATTTATTTCATACTCTTCGCTCAATGAGAAAGTGGGTCAGATTCTATAGGATCAAGCCTACAGGACTTAAGGAATGAAGGAAGGGTATTAAAGAAGAGAAGAGATAAAAATAATAAATAAAATAATAAAATAAATAAATAAAGCCCAGGTTAACCTTGCCCTTAACTTTAAGGCTATGCCATCCTAAGGTGCTGCTAAATAGAAGGATTCCAGGAACTGACAAACATCTCATGGGTTCAATTTCCTAGGCAAATATAGATCATCAATGACTAACTAATTGATCAAAGAGGTGTCTTCTTTTTCTTTTTTTTTTCTTTTTTTCTTTTTTTTTTTTAGTGTTAGGTCGAAAATCACTGTGGCAATTTAAACTATCTTATAAATGACAACAAGGAAGTGCAACAATTACAATATGTACTCACCACAGGATGAGAATAAAGGGTGGCAAGAGCACGAGCTTGAGTGCGATCATCACCTTCCAATTTAGGAAGAGGGAGTGAGTTACTTTCCTGCATTTAAAATGTTTGTAACTCATGACACCCTGAGGCTTGCCAGTTAACATATGTTAAAAGAAGAAGCAAATCTTATTTTCCTTGTCCCGGATAGGTAAATAAAGTGGCAAACCTTAAGCAGCACTAGCTTCCGGAGAATCCCATTGACCATGTTGCCAGCACCAGGCCTGAGGGAAACCTTTGCAAGCCTCACATTCTGCAGTCATGACATACAATATCCAAATGAAACTCCTCGCTACACAATTTCAAGAGACCATTGAGAAAATGATAGTATCCAAATATTGAAACACTAGACAAGTATTAAAGCAAGAATCTGACCTCAAGCCAGACCACTTGAATTAAAACTAGAAAATATAAAGTTCCACTGAAAAAGGAAAAAACTTTTGAGGAGTTCCTATAAGCCACATAGTTGGCCATGCTGTTATAGGAAAAAAACACCATCTACCTATATCATTTTCCCTTTTTCAAAGGACATGAATATAAAGTTATGTGGAACCATCAGTTCACATATGACACTAGCAATCTATTTCCAACTGACAGGAAAGTTTAAAATAAAAAGACTGATTAATATTTTCATCATGAAAATACTTTCAAACTATGGGAGTTACTTCACATCAACATGTGGTTTATCTATTTTAACAAAAGTTCTGATTAAACTCTCCAAAAACGTTTACAAGACTAAAAAGACATATGATAAGGTAAAAACCTCTTGTATCAACATGACTATAGGAAGATCAGAAAAATCTTGTAAGAAAAGAACTCAGAGAAAAAACCAAAAAGAAAAGCTCTAACAAACTTACCTCATCAACAACAGCATATGCTGGCATGTCTAGCTTCAGAATCTCATAAAAGCCAATTCGGAGAATCTAAGAAAATGGGAAAAGAAATGTGAGACAAGTCCTAGTCCCGTTTAAATTACTTCATATTTTCTTAAAGCATTTTTTTATAAAGTGAAACGCTGAGTTTATATTCACCAAAGAACAATCTTATACTTTGTCTAAACATCCACAAAAATTTTTTGCACACAACTGAATTCTAATCTATGTAATTCTTTCTTTTTAAGGTAAAATAGGTAGTAATAAATTGAAAACAGGAAAATGTTTTTACAGCTATTCTGTAAAGCCCATTGGACACTATGATGGCAGCATAAAGCTTGGACATAGTATTTACACTTCCAGACCATGACAGTAAACCATTAGGTAGACAGGTCCAGCTAGTGTTATAAGTGTGAACACTCCCAATCATTCCTGATCCACTTTTTATAGACTGTGTTCTACACCTTACAGTCACTTAACCTCCTTTAAATGGACTAGACCTCACATCTAACTTCCAAAGGTAATTGTATCATCCTATGTCTACTCAGTATTGCAACTTACACTCTTATGGCCACTTTTGTGTTGACTAGCTCGCACATCTTTCAACCCAACAGACACTTTCATGAACTAGATCATTCATTTTAAACACAGAATGTTAAGGAAATAATTTCCACGTATATCTCAAAGTGCCAGCTAGCTATTATATTGCATTCCATGCTGCTCGAGTAAAAAATATCACATGTAACCAAAAAAGAATAAAAAAACTACCTGCAAGAGAAGAGGCTCCATGCTCTTAATTGTGTTCTCATCATTGCACAACGATCCAATAAGATAATCAAGATATCTTCTCCAGCGAATGGTGCCTCCAACAATATCCGTAACCTATGTTTCAGAAGTGAGTGAATAAAGAAAACAGAAGAGTTTCTGAAATTGAGTAGGATGCATTCCCTTAAATCATAAAAATGACAATTGACAATGTATAAACTATACACATATGAGTTGAAACCGATAAACCTGTTGGAAGTTCTTTCAAATAATACAGCGAATGCCTTGAAAACCAGTAAAAATGGAAGTGCACAAAACATCAGTACCAATCTAAGATCACGATCATCCAAATCCTTGGTTCGGAACCCAAGAGTTCTTCCAACATATCCCATCTCATTATCACCAGATCCTTTCCCTTTTTCATTCAAAAGATCAGCAAATGCACCACCCATCTCTATTCTCATCAACCTCACTGCAGAAACTGTATAAACCATCGACAAATCGACATAAACTACGAAGTACGAAAATGTAAATAAGTTCTAGTGCACTATTAAAGCCAAAAATCTCGCCAGCAAAAAAAAAAAAAAAAAAAAAGAGTAAAAAAAGTGTACACAGAGTGTCATGTACAAAGTAAGCACATTTGATCTGATCACTGATCAATTGATATATATTTAGAGAGAGAGAGAGAGAGAGAGAGAGAGAGGGCATTAAGTTTCAATTTGACATAAGAGAGAAAATACCAGCTCGATGAGGCGAAACCTCTAAATTCAACTTCTGGGTTTTGCGCAAGGGACTCTGAGGACCTGAAAAACACACTATCTGTTTAATCATTGGCAAGACAGCAAATTACACTGATAACGAACAAAGACAGCCTGAAAATTTTTTTTTAAAAAAAACACAATCTTTCACTTTAACATCATAAAATGAAAGATTTAAACTAACGCAACTTCAGTTTTGCTTACAGTTCTTGCATGTATAACGCTTGCATTCTAAGTAGGTGAAACTAAAAAAAATGTATATATTAAAGGATAATTAAGCTATGTATTATATAATTATGGCTGAAATTGGATTCTTTTAAGAACAAAAGGTTGCTAACTTTTTTCCTCTATTTTCTTGGCAACCAAAAAGAAGAGAGAGAGGAAGAGATCACCTTTTCTATGAGTGGTAACAGATGTTTTGGGATTGTGGGTTCTCTTCAATGGCTTAGAAGGAGCAACTTTGTGTATTTCTGCAGAGAAGAAAACATGGAGAGGAAGCACTTGTGCCATTGCTGTTGTAAGATATGAGGGAGGGAAGCTTTTAGAATTTAGATAACGGCGAGCTGATAAATAGTAATTTATGAGATCTTCATAAATATATAATGCAGATTTGAAAATATGTCCACGACGTTGTCTAAAAAATAATTATCTTTTTTTCTCATTTATTTATAACTTAATTTTTTCATATTTTTAGTTATCAATATGTTTTTTTTTTCATTTTTTTATTTGTTAAAAAATAAATTGAATATTAATGAAAAGATTGAGTAATAAATAAATTTAAAAATAAAAAAATATTTATTTATTTATTATTGAAATTACTTAGTGGGATTATTATTATTATCATTAATTTTTTGAAAAAACTAGAAGGACTAATTTATAATTTACTCGGAAAAAATATACTACTTTATCGAAGTATCTGCTTATGAGGGTTAAATGTTAATGACAAAACTACCCTTAGAAAGGAATCTGTCTCTCGAAAGTCGAACCCATCCTTTCTCTGCCTCCTTCTGCCTCGGTGTGACGAGAAGTCCTATTTGCTATAGAAATCGCAAGTGGTTCTTATTGTTCCTTTTTGTTGAGGAGATTAATGCGATATCATTGATGTTGCTTGACTACTATTCTCTTCTTCATGAGATTTGAATTGCCAGTAGCGCCGTTTCCAACTTCCCTAACCTCTCCCTTCAGCGTCTCAACCTTTCCTTTGCTTGCAATCTCTCCTTACCTCTCAATTTCTTAAATATTTTTAATTTTTTTTCAAGAGTTTTGCGGGTAAGCTGTTTTTATTTTGTTTCTTTTTAAGTTATTTGAATCAATAACTAATTTTTTTTTTTTTCAAAGCAGGATGTGTTTGCAGGTAGAGATGGCGGGACATCTCCCAACCGGAGAGGAAGCCAGTGGTAGCAAAGCATTGGAAACTCCCACGATGGAATTACAAGATTATGTTGATTCTAAAAAATCCAAGAAACGGAAAAGGAGTTCCACTGCAATCCTTGCTAATGCTTGTCATAGCTCGAAACTGGAAAAATTTTATACCAGAGTTATGTTGTCTTTAACCAAGCCATCCTACCTTCTCGGACTTGGTTTCAACTTTATTCGACAGGAAAATCGTACAAGATTGTTCCATCTTTTGCGGAAATTAGTGAGACAACATAATTGGACTGAAGCAGCTGGTGTGCTCAGTGTGTTTTTGATAGCCACACGCAAAGATAAATCTCCTATCTTGAATCGGTTCAAGTACACGGTATGTTTCTGGTGCCCTATTTTTTTTATAATGACATTGAGCGATGGTTTTCTCTGGGTTCGCCTCTATTGGTGCCAGCATTGCGCATGAATTAGTATTATTGTAAATTTCGGATATTGATATTGCCTCTAGTGGTTATTTCTCTACCATATTTTGCTTGGTGATTGAACAATATGTTCTGTGAGCTTGCTATTTGCAACATGAGTGACATTTTTTTTTCTTTTTTTTTTTTATCGTAGAATCTACAGGAGATCAAAGACCATATAGTGGGTTACATAGACTTAGACCAATTAATAACAAACATGTCCTTGTTTTTTTTTTTTTTTTTTTGAACCATTGTGTTGCATCCTCCATTTTATAGCTTCAATTGCAATTTAGTAGCAATCAGCTAAAGACACAAATCTCAATTAGTTTCCAATGGTTTCTTTCTGGTGGAACCGAACTTCTTAATCCAATTTTTTTATTGCAAGCATATCTTCATCCTTTTGTAAATCATTCTTTATGTCATATTGCTTATAACATTTGTAGGAAAATTTTCAATGATATCTAGAGCATTTACACTACGACCTTTTAACATACATGAAAGCATTTTTAGGTTTCGATGGAGCTTCTTAAGCACATAGAAGGTGATGATGTCAGTTTGTCAGCGATTTCTGGCATATATGATACTTGGATGGAAAGGATTGGAACCAAATTATCAAAAAAAGAAACCAGGATGGGCAAATGGAAGAGGTATAGTTGAAAAATTCTCTTTGTATTCTTACACAAGCATGATTTTTGCTCATGTTCATGATATAGTTAACGACACTGCATTAAACCCTTGCCTTTGTCAGATGTTTGTGTGCAGTAATGTCATCTTGTGCTGATCAAAGATTTTGATTTTTGAGCAGGATAGCTCTGTTGTTCGTTTGCAGTTCATCCTTTCCCGTGTTTTGCAAGGAGATATTGAAGGTGAACGTCACAATGTTAAAATGTATGGTTATCTCTTTTTCCATACTTAATAATTGCCTACATCATAAAACATGTTGTGTACTACTATGCTTTGCCTTCTTCTTGTATGACCATAATGATATTTTATTGGTACACATTGTGTTGTTTCATTACTGTAAATTAAAAAAGTATGTGCCCTTTGTTGGTAAAAGCCCATGATCCAACTTGATCCACTGGCAGGTTTCAAGTTCTTATGTTATTCCTTTTATTGTTTGAGTAGTGTAACCGAGATTTGTCCTATAAGATTGATTTTCACTTTTTTTTCTTAATGTTGCGTGTTAGGATTATGCCTCCACCTAAAAGATTATTGCCATCTTGTTTTCCCTAAGTGACATGGTTAGTAAGTTAAGATAGTTGGATTAAAACTCTTCACTTATGATAGAGAAAAAGAAAATGGACTATTCTGTCTGTTTTAGATTTTGTAGATTCCAAATTTTGCATACATGTTTATGCTTTTTGAACCCCCCCCCCCCCCCCCCCCCCCCCATGCTCTTAATAAGGTTTTTCTTTTATAGAAGTAATAAGATGGTAATAGATTAAGAATTTGGGATTTAGTTTACATGTAATTTCCAAAAACTTCCTAATTATTTAACCTGCTTCATTCTTATTTTTTTCTTTTTCAGCTTGATGCAAGAGCATGGATATGAGAATCATCCATTGTTTAATATGATGCTCGGCTTGATATCTAGTCAGTTGTGGTATTCTAGCATCCCGGAAGAAATTCAGTGGAAGGATCCTTTTCAATTTCATCCTCCTACACATTCAGACATGCCAGCCACTCCTGCGCAACCAGAGATGTCAGCTACTAGAATCAGCCATGAAATTGGGGATACAGAGGGGCATAATGCAGTTGTTAATGAAGAACGTGATGCTTCCTTTCATTGTAATTCAGAATCTTCTGTCATGCAAGATAAAGATATATCTGGTGAGGTTGATGGTAGCTTTCACGGAGAAGTGTTGCCTGTGGAGGTTGGTAAACTGCACAAAGAAAATCTCCCACGAGACTTTCAGCTACAAGGCTTTTACATGAGGTCTGCTGAAAGTGATGCCTCCTTTGATGATAATGGTGGTCACATGCACTTTGTCCCTAATCTGGCTGCCTTTGGTAAGTTCCAAAGGCCATTGTGTTGTTTATTCTTGTTAGATTTTCTAATGCACCAGTAGCTTTTAGTTTGTTAAGGTAAACGACGTGTTTTATTAATGATTGAAACTGAATTAGTGAATCATATAGTACATCCTCAATGAAAAAGGAATAGAAAAAATCAGAATGAAAAATCTAAAACAAATAGCTGGATGTCAGAATGGGAAGCTCCTTCTGAGGCCTGACAAACCCAGAAATATTATTCTGTCATTATGTTCCGTTAACAATTGTGATAACAGCACACCTCTACAAGTTCTTCCACTCTGCCAAGAAAAACAATAGATTCACCTTTAGTTACAAAAGTTTTATGCTACATAGTCCAAGTTGCTGTGGCAAAGAACATTTATATTTTTACTTATGCTGGGCAGGGCCTTTTCATTATGTAGAGTGCCATGCATGCATATTATGTATGCTTTCATTGATATCTAACTGAGGCCCCAAAGCTCATAGAGTCAGGCAGCTTGATTCATATAGCATATATGAAAAACCCCAATACAAATAGTAAAAACCAAGAAATAGACTTATCTTGAAATTTAAACTGCTCAATGCATTTGAAGAAACAATAAGGTAGAAAGGAGTTGGGGAAAATAGACGTCCTGAATTTAACCATCTGTAGAACATACTTGCTTTTGGATTTCTCCATGAAAAGCACATCCCTGCTCATGCACCCACATGAAACCATTTATCTTCAGTCAATGGGAAAAATAGAACCAATGCTACCTTTAATTGTAGTTTAGTAAGTAAAACAAACTTGCATGTTTTGCTGCTACACATATTTTAAATGCCAAAAGTTGCTCATTCTCAAGAAAGATTTGAACTAGTCATCGGTCATATCATATGCTTTTTGAACTAGTCATTGTCTCTGTACAGTTGAGTTGCTAATTTGCTCACGAAGAGTAGTATTTTTTTTTAGTGAATATTGAGTGGGATGATTACTGATTGAATTTGAAAATAGTATTGACACTGTTAGTGGCTGACAGCGTGCTAGAGAGAGCTAGAAAAGAGGGCACAGAATTATATGTCTCTATGTTTGTTTCAGTAGATAAATCAATTTTAAACCTGGAGAAAGCCTCCTTAATGTTTCTAAAGGTACTGATTATTTTACTTCCTGATGATGCTGCTGATGTGGGTAGTGTAGCTAGTTGGAAGTGGTTATGGGGGAGGTCAAAGAGTTGATTCTATTACTAAAAAAATTTACCAAGTTATTTCTGAATTTCTTTTCTAAGATGCAAATAATTTGTCATCTAGATCTGACAATCCTGGACTGTAAAATTGTTAGAAGTATAATAGACAAAATGTAATTTAAGCAACTCTTATCTGCTGAAATTTTCAGGTGTAGGTGTAATGGTTAATAGTATTATGTTACAGCCATCAGGAATGCGATTCTGAAATCTTGATCCCAAAACATTTTCTAAAGGAATCAAAACCATCTGATTCTGTTCTGTGAAGGGTGTTATTTGTTGTGTCATTACAGTAGTAGATCGCCCTTGTTGAAATGCTAAAATTTAGCAGTAGCCAGTAGGAGCTGAATATTATGGTATAATTCTGTTATGCTGAATGATGATTATCATTTACCATTCTTTACATGAAAGTTTGACACACACATGCTTCATGTGCATACTAACTATTTTATCTGTCATGCTAAAGAGAACTCAGGTTCATGGCTGTTACCATTGCAAACTGGGAATTGGGAGTTGGATCAATTTGTTCATGATGAGGAATATAGGAATGCAGTGAAGTATTTGCAAGAAGCTGTAAACTCAACACCTCCAGTATCAGCAGCCTTGCTTCCTTTGATACAGGTAAACATAAATGATGACATACATCTGGTAAACATTGTTGAGAAATTGTTGCAAGAATTTCAAATTTATCTGCTGAGCATTCATTCCATTGTTTGAAGCATTCACTCATGCTATTAGGGGAATGTGGTTGCAGCATTCAGTTATGCTTGTATTGTTCCCGAGACAATTAGATTTATTACAGTAGTTTTCCCCCTTGCTGGGGAAAATATGTGACTTAGAAGTACTGCTTGTGTAGTATTCCCATTTTGCACCATTTTGTGAGACTAGTGACAGATTATGTTCTTAAAACGTTGGAAATAGCATACAAGATAACTATACTCTAGTTGATTGTTGGCAAGGAATAATAAAATTGTATATTGCCTCCCTCCAGAACGTAAATTAGCTGGTGTGCCCTTTCAATTTGATGCAACCTGGAGTCAGTGATAAATGAACACCAGATTGAGGATTGCCAGATTGAGGATTGTGGTATATAACTTTGACATGTATGCATTTTGTGGTTTTGGTAATGTTTAACATGATTTTCTGTTGCAGATCCATCACTGGCTTAATCATGCTATCCTCAGAACAATAGTTACAATCTCTTATTTCTTTCTAATAATTGCAGTCATTAGTATGAATGTGGAATTCATTTTCTATTGTTGTTGGTGAATTTTATCTCTGTTAGAATCTTATTATCTGAATTATCCAAATCCAAATTTTGCCAGTTATTGCTGATTGGATGCAAAGACAGAGAGGCCCTTGAAGAACTTGAGAAGTTCTGTGCCAATTCAAGTTTCGCACTTCCTAAGAGGTACTACTTTGCTGAGTTTTAAACTGTTTGTAGTGCGGATGAAGCCATTTTCGTAGATAATGTGTTACTCATCCTGGAAAGTAATTAGATGTATCTGATTGAATTGGAAGAAGAACAACTATCAGGACATGACAGGGACAAAAAATTTTGGATCCTGTGCTTTTTTTAAAAAAAAATTATTGTTACCAGTGTTTGTTGGTTTTTCCAAAAGTTGGTAGTAGTAATGCGCAAACACATCTATTTGAGGAAATACGAGTCCATTAAAATAGGGTCTAATAGCAGTTGGCGTTTCTAAATTTTCATGCTGCTACATTGTTTTTGAGCCGTACAATTTAGTCGGTCACATTCTCCTGTTGTTGTTCCTGATGAAATAAAATATGTACTTTGTGCAGAATGAAGGCTGATCTTTTTGATCGTCTTGATCCTAATAACAGTGTCGTACTTGCAACCTGTTATGAGGACACCTTAAAGAGTGATCCTAAATGTAGCCAGTCGTTGGCAAGGCTTGTCAGCCTGCATCAGAAAGGTAACAGCCAGACATCGGCACCCTCTGTTTACATGTTTTGTTTTCTTTATTTTCTTTTCTCTTTGGAACATTTCAAATGGCATAGTATTTTACTATATAAATAACCAAGTACTGTTTGATTCAGGCAAGGTTTTCTAATTTTCTTTGTTCCAGAATCACCAGCCATAGGACTGTTAATTTACTTTTGCAGTATTGGAAACCTTTCATGCAGTTGTACCAGGAGATTATAATAGGAACCCCTGTCTATTTGATTTTGTTAACAGTTACAATGGTGACCATGACAGTTATTTTTCGCTCATGATAGGCCTCTACTGCCATCTTTCTTGCAACTGTGGTTTAAAACCATTGTTTGCTTAGTGTCATTGAAAGTTGAATGGAAGTGAAATTTAGTGCATTTTTATCACCATGTGAGATGTGGGTTTGGAAAAAGAAAAATCAGAATTATTTTTAAAATTTTTGGAAGGGGGAGTTAAAGGATAAGAAATGACCGTTTACCTATCTGACAATCACCAGAATTGTGGCACCACCCTCCACCACATTTCACCAGCATTGCCATTACTATTTCCATTGCCACCACGGCTATTACCATCATCACTACCTACCACCACCATGGCTTTCTATGAGTTGTCGTTGTGTGCATAATGGCATGCGGTGTGTTTTGGGTAAAAGTTCTCAATAAATAAAAAGATCTTGTCAGCCGTTTTTCCCCTTTTCTAATTGCTTTCTGTTGATATATCGCAGGGGATTATAGCCTTCAATCCCTATTGGAAATGATAGCCTTGCATTTAGATGCTGCCTTTGTGGAATATGATACTTGGAGGGAGTTTGCTTTATGCTTTCTTAAAGTGTCTCAATGTGAAGAGGATGAGATGTCAGTTTGTCAGCCTGGAAATGAAGGTGAAAAAAGCAATACTATTCTGTCTGCTATAATGGAATCCCCAAAATGTTTATGCAGGGGAAATCAGTAAGGCTTTGGAGGTCTCGCTGCAGATGGTGGTCGACACGTCATTTCGGCAGGAGCATCCTTGCATCAGATATTGCCACAGGTACCTGTCTTTTTTCACTATTAGCTGATATCTTGATACATATATTAAGTTATCTCGATCACCTAGTCCTTAATTGCATATCTTTGAACTCCTTATGCTGCTTCCACACCTCACCTGTGAGTAAGGGATATGTTACCCAGCGAGTCTCTCTAAACATCACTATGAGACTATGATCCATATGCCAATTAATGCACTAATGATATTTTGAAATTACTGGAGCATAAATAGGATAGTTATGAACTGGATTTGAAATGCGACCATAATAGAATGTCGGTCTATCTGGTTAACATGATTGAATGACTAGGGTTTGTCAAGCTTGTCTTTGTAAGGCTGCATCCGAAACCTAATCTGCTAAATGCGTTGATGGTTTTCATCTGTTCTGAATGCCAACTCTCTGCCATATTACTTGGAAGATATCAATTTTGCTCCTCTTTTGGCAACAGGTAATTGGCAGCTCCTAACCTACAAAGCAGCATGTGCGTCCCATATGTATGGACAGGACTTCGAGTATGTTATGAAGGCTTACACTTGCATACAGAAGGAAAATAAGAGGGACTTGTTATTGTTTTTGCGACTGCACATGAAGAATTCAATCGGACTCCATTCACAGTTCCAAAGGGGGACTAACTAATGTATATATTCCCCATGGCAAAGGAAAAAAATATTTATATATATTATAATATTTCATTTTTCATTTTTTGTGAGTTAGAAAATGTCTTCATTTTTTAGTTGGTGATTAATCAACTTAAAGGAGCCACAAAAAAATGGTTTTTTCTACCATGATTTGGTTAAATTTATTTTATTTTCTGAAAATAAATTGCTTAAAACATTAACACTTGAAATTGAAGCAACAATTACCTGAACTCACTGTAGCAGTGAACCGAAGAAATGTACCTAACGAAAGTTTAGGTAACGGTGGCAGTCGATTTTAATGTGGACTTGTCAAATTTCACTGAAAGGGTTTCTTACTCAGCAGCATTGTTCTGAAAAAAGTGAAGGAACTCAAACCGGCAATATAAAGAAAATAGAATAACCTCAATCCATAAAGCTCCGTAACTATCATAAATTCGTGCACCCTAAGCCCATGATCAAAATCAGTAGATAAATTAGCCGATTATCCGTGCAATGTGCTGTGTGTCGAGTAAAATAAAATTATTTTTTAATTTTTTTTATTTAATTGTATTTTTTTATGTTTTTTTTTATTATAAATTTTCTATTTTTAAAAACATGATTTATTCCTCTTTATGCAAGATTCTGAAATAAAAACTTATAATAATTTAAATTAAAATATTAATCAAGAATTAAAAACTATTTTGTCATCAGAATATATTTAAAAAATAAAGTTGCAATTAATGTATAAACTTATATAAAAGTTAAATAATAAAAAATAAAATTTTACTCTTATTTAATGATGGTGATTATTTTTTAAAAGTATATGCAATTGATATATATATATATACACATACAAAAAATAATAATAATCAACAATGTTAGCATAAAAAACTATATTTGAATAATTGGGTGGCTTTTTCAAAAAAAATATTTTAATTATTTTATTTTGAATAAATTGATTCTATAATGTTTTAAAAAATATTTTTAGTAAATACATGATTTTATATGTGAAGATATATAATTAATTTTTAATAAAACCAATGATTCAATATATATATATACACACACACACACACATATTTTGGCCATACTTAGTGGACTAAGACAAATTATCTAAAATATACTTTTTTATTTTAGATTAAAATAATTATATATAAGCAATTATCATTTAAAATTTTTGAAAATACATGATATATATTATATCAATTTTTTTTAAAAAAAAGAGAAAATAGTTTTTCTAAAAAATTTATATTCTAAAATTTAAATGTGGAAAAAAATAAATTATATTTATCGGTAAATAAGATTTATTTAAAAAATATTAATTGGATGAGGATTTTCATAAAAATGAGAAATTCAAAAAAAAATTTATATAACAAGAGTAATATAATCTAAAATATAAGTTAATTTTAAAATATATATATGTATGTATGTTAAAATATATATATGTATGTATGTTATCTTCATCACGCTACGTGAAAAAAACAAATACTAACGTTCGATATTCCATAAGTTTTGCCTAAAAATTCTTAATTAAGAAAAATTAAAGAAAAGAAAAGAAAAAGCGGAAAGCTCGTGCAAGCTGGGCTCGGAGGACTAGGCTCGAGCCCCGAGCTTAAAGCACCCGCCTAGCATGCCTAGGTCCGGAGGACTAGGTTTAGGTAGTTCCTCTTCATTTTTTACGAACTTTGCATTTTTCGGCCACGATTTTGCTAAAAAAAATAACTAAAAAGTTGGGTTTTATCATTTCGGGACTTCCAAAGTCAAATGCAACCTCGATTTTATCCAAAAACATCTCAAAATAACTGAAATAACATCAATAAACTCGTTTAGAACTTCAAAATCCATTTTAATTCACACAAAATATGTAAAAATTCAAAAAAAAAGATTCAAAATATTTTAGGCTTCTAATCTACCTCTTCCTACCATTTTATGGCTTGCCACCACTACAAACATCTTCTACTTTTCAAGACAAACAAAGTGATGGTAAGATCTACCGTCAAGGTGGCCGCAATGGACATCGTCGATCGTCTCGCTCTCTCCTTCCTTCTCTCTCACTCTCTCTCTCTCCACTTAAGATGTAGTGACCAAAATGAATGAAAAATGAAGTTTTAGACCAAAAAAATATTGTTCGAAATAGAAGAACCAAAGTGAATATTTTTGATAGAAACGATAAATGAATAGTAAAAATTGAGATAGTGAATAGTATGTTCATAGTATTTTTAGGTTTTGTTTCAAGCATATGTAGTAATAGTAACATGTCCGAGACATGAGAATAGCTAAATAAAAGAAATTTTGGAATACTCAAGATAGCTATAGAAGAGAAATTTTGGAATACCCAAGAAGTAAATATTAAAAAAAAAAAAAAAGAGATTTGAAGGGATGACTATTCACTTACTATTCATCTACACTCATCGAACTATTTATTGAATATTATTGTATTAAATGGCATTATTGTGATTTTTAATCTTTATTTAGGTATTCGATATGGTGTATTAAATAGAATTATTGTGATTTTTAAGTTGTATTTATGCATTTGGTATAGTATTTTTTTTGTAACTTTGAGCCTATGTTTAGGTATTTGATATGCAAGTTTTGACAAATATTCCACTTTGGTTTTTAATTTTTTTCTAAAATATTTTTTTATTTAATTTTATTTATTAACAAATATGATTTATTTTCTCTATGTATGGATTTTCAAATAAATTTTTTTAGTTGTTTTTATTTGCTTATTATTTATATAATCAAATTTTAAAAATAAAATACACTTGTTTTATTTTTTTATTCTTTATATAATTAAATTTTATCGAAATTAATTTTGTAGTTTTTTTAATTACATTCTATTAACATCAATGTATTTTTTACAATTTATTTTTTAAAACATTTTTTGATTTATGTTCCACACTTTGATCCACTAAGCATAGTTATGATGCATAAAAAAAATTAAGATCATTGATTTTATTAAAAATTCACTATACATCTATACAACTAACACCAACCATGCCCTATTATGATTTTTTTTTTTTTGATATTTTAAAATTAAAATTTTTAAATAAATTAATTAAAATAATATTTTAAAAGAACCAAAAAATAATTCAAATACAACTTTATATATATATATATATATAATTAAAAAATTTAATCTTATCATAGTATTAAATTAGAATTAAAAAAAAATATTAATTTTTTATTTTTTATACAAGTTTTTATATTAATTATTGTTTTATTTATTTGATGTAATGATATAAAAAAATTAATATGATATTTTTTAAAATTTTATATTTAGATTATTATGGTTTTTATTTAAGAAAAAAGGTATAAAAATAAGTAATCGTGCTTTTTTTAGCTACTAAATTTATTAAAAACATACACATAAAAAAATTAAATACAAAATTTTGATTCAAAACTATAAAATTTTATCTTTTATCTTTCTTTTAATATATTTTAGGTGATCGACGAGCATAGTACATACTATCAAACTAAAATAATTATGTTTAGTTTGGTTTGTAGCATAGCACGTGAAGCCAACTAGTTAAAATTCAAAGGGCCGATCGACTTATTAAAAAGGTTTTTTTTCCATAATTTTCTATATTTTAAATCTTAAGGCTAATCCTGAATTTATTATTATTATTTGCTCTCTTTCTTGATTTTCTATATTTAAATCTTAAAGCTAATACTTACGAGAATTTATTAATTTTTTTTTTAATGTACCAAGTGATACGAAGGATGTACCTTTAAAATCGTTAGAGTAGGGATTTAGTTTTAGTTGACGCTCAAACTGGATCATTTTGGGGTTGAAATTTGCTCCATCCTCTTTTGGTCCAGAATATCCAAAGGGAAAACTGTAATTTTCATGTCTAATTTTTATTTTGTGTGAGTATTCAACCTTGAATTACATCTATAATTTTATTCTATTTGAGTGTTCAATTTTTAATTATATCTATTTAAGTATTTAAGTATTTTTTTCCCCTATTCGAGTTCTCTTAGATGCCAGGGACTGTTTGAGTTCTCTCATGTACTTGAGATTGAAAAAAGATGATGTTTCCATAATGAAATGACACATGGTAAAAGGTGTATCTCACTTGGATTTATTTAGGAAAAAAAAATCCAAATCATTAAACGAATTCGAAAATGGAAAATGCTTGACTGTGAATGTTTTAATTTTTTTCTTTTCTTATTCTGGGACAGCTTTCAAGTGATATCATTTTGCAATGGAAGTCAAGTTCTTTCGATTTATAAAAATTGTATGTGTTGGCTACAAAGCGTGAACAGAACCAAAAAGTCGTTCGTTATGTCTCATAAACTGGGTTATAGTTATGAAGTTGAAACAATCGTGCCACCTGCAGTTCGGTGTTTTGTTTCAAAAATAGTGTGGTTTCCTGCATTGGAATTGACAAAGAAATAGTGCATCAGTTTGCTGTTTTTTTTTCGTAGGTATAAGCCACTAGAAGTTTATAAAGGGAAAGAGATTATAGATATTGATGGAAGTTATTAAGAAAAACTAAGAAAAGAAGTCAAAATGACCATGGCCGATATGGGTGATTCTGATGCTTCAGTAAGTCAAAACAGGGCTTTGTTTTTGGGATTAAATTACAAGAATTTTGTAGTTTGGAGGAGGTTTCAATCAGTTTATAATGTTTTAAAATAATAGAATTTGTTTAATTTTTTTGTTATAAAAGAAAGGGAACAATAATAGAATATGAGAAAAAGATGATAGAAAAAAATGAATTCATTATGA